AATGGACTTGTATCTAGAATACCTAACAAATGGTTACAACCCAGTAATAAAAAGACAAATAACTCATTTTAAAAATGGTCAAAGGATCTGAATAGACATTTTTCCAAAGATATACAAATGGCCTGTAGACACATCATCAGTCATTATTAGTCATCAGGGAAATATAAGTCAGAACCACAATGAGATACCACTTCACACTCAGTAGGATAGCTATAATAAAAACCACAAATAAAACATTTATTGTCAAGTATGTAGAGAAATTAGAAACCTCATACATTGCTGGTGGGTATGTGAAATGGTGCAGCTACTTTGGAAAATAGTCTGGCAATTCCTCAAAAGGCTGAACATTAGATTCCCAGAAGTTCTACTCCCAGGTATAGACCCAAGAGAAATGAAATGTGTCCACAAATTTTCACAGCAACATCATTTATAATAGCGAAAAAGTGAAAACAATCCAAATATCCATCAATTGAATGGATAAACAAAATGCATGTGTCCATACAATGGAATATTATTTGGCAACAAAAGAAATGAACTATTGAGACATACTACAACATAGATGAACCTTGAAAACATTCTGCTAAGGAAAAAAGCCAGTCACAAAGACCACATATTATGTGATTTCATTCATATGAAATGTCCACAATAGGCAAATCTGTAGAGAAAATAAGGTAGCAGTAGCCTATGGCTGGGAGTAGGTAGAAGAAAGGGGAGTGACAGCTGATGGGCATGCAGCTTTTTTTGAGGGGCGGGGAGATAATGAAAATGTTCTAAGACTGATTGTAGTGATGGTTGCACAACCTAAAACCCATTGACCTGTACACTACATATAGGTGAATTGTATGGTATATGAATTACATCCCAAGAAAGATGTTATTTTTTTAAAAAGAGACAACTGACTGTTTAAAGCAAAAAAAAAAAAAAATTGTGTATTGTTGGGTGTATATCATAGCTAAAAGCAAAATGCATGACAATAGCTCAAAAGACAGGAAGAACGAAGTATACTGTTGTAAGGTTCTCAATGATATTCATGAATGGTATAATATTATTTTAAGGTTGAAGATGTATAATATAAACCCTAAGCAACCACTAATAAAAACAAACAAAAAAATAATTTACAACTAATAAGCTAAGAATGGAGATAAAATAGACTCACACACACACACAAAAACACAAAAACAAAACAAAACAACATGCAATCTAAAAGAAAGCAAAAAAAGAAGACAAAGGAACAAAGAACAAGCAGGACAAATAGAATGCCAATGGAAAGATGGCAGATTTAAACTCAACCATATTGATAACAACATTAATTGTAAGTGGTCTAAACACTCCAATTAAAAAGTCAAATTTGTCAAATTGGATAAAAATAACACAATGACATGCTTTCTAAAAAAAAACAAACTTTGAAAATATAAAGTCAGAGAGATTAAAAGTACAAGGATAGAAAAAGATATGCCATGCAAACACTAGTCAACAGAAAGCCAGAGTGATTACACAGACCAACTGGAAATATTACCAGGGATGAAGAACATTTTATATTAATGAAGGGATTAACTTCTCAAAAGGATGTAACAACCTTAAATGTTTATGCACCTAGGAACAGAGCTTAAACACATGATGCAAAAAGTGATAGATCGGAAAAGAAAAAATGAAATGAAGGAGAAATATCTAGGTAGCAGCTGTAGTCATCAGCTTAGAGATGGAAGCTGAAGCCACGACAGTCAGATGAGCAGAAACAAGTGTAAGGGAGAAAAGACATCCAGACAGAATGCTGGGCCACTTCAGCACTGCCAGGGTGATCAGAAGAAACTCTCAAGAAACAAACAGAGAAATAACTGTCAGAATAGGAGGCAGAAAAGGAGAGTGTGAGGTCATGGAACTCCAGAGAAGAGGGTTCCAAAAGGCAGAGTGTGCTCAGCTACATCAAATGCTGCTGAGATAAACTAGGACCTCGTAGGCTGCAGCAGGATTTACCGAAAGAATCAGTGGAGATATGGGGATAGTGGGAACAGAAGCCAGTGGATTGAGCAGGAGTTGAGGAGATGAAGATAATAAACCCAGATTTTGATTTCAACAGCCTTGGCTGAGAAGAGTAGGAGACAGAGGAAGTTGTAAAGTCAAGGTATTTTTGTTTTGTTTCTTAACTGGGTTACAATGGAAAGAGTCAGGAGAGTGGAGACGATGAAGATCCAGGGTACAAGGAATGAGCAACAGAAGGGGGTACTCGGGCAGGGGTTGAGGGAAGAGTTACCAGATCTCCTGTGGAGAGGCTAACTGGAAGAGGGACGTCTATCTCTCAGTATAATGGGGGCCAGAGGCATGGATAGACATGGATGCAGGTCAGTTTGGAGCCCAGGGCAGAGGTTAAAAAAATTACCTCCTGCTAAGTTTTCTTTTCCTTATAAAGAGAGTGTTTAGGTCAGCTGCTGGGAGTGAGTGGGGAAGCTGTGGTGTGGAAAAGCAGAGGGGTATGTGAGAGCTCTGAAATAGCTGGGGGGCGGTGCGGTTGGAGTAGACGTAGGCAGCAGGACTGCTGGGCACTGCTGGGGGCTCAGCTGAGGCTGTGGACCATGAAGTTGGACAAGTGTCAATTCATGAAGGGATTCCCATCCCCCATCTCAGCCTTATAATAAGCCAGGACTGGAGAAGTCAGGCAGTTACCACGTTCTAGGGGTGGGGTGGGAGGCTACGGGGCCAGGTGGTGAATGGTGAGCAGTTCAAGCAAGAGGCCATAGCATCCAGATTGGAGGGGAACAAGAGCTGATTCGGGGTGAGGGGAAAAAGTAAGAGGCAGGAGCCTGAAGGTCTCTATGAACAGATATGGTGGAGGCAAGGGAGACAGAGCACATAGGAGGTATATGGAGATTAAAACTTGAGAGGCGGAATGGTTTCAAATGATAACCAGATCATGGAAATGGGTTGCTGAAACAGAGGTGACAGTCAGTGAGTTGAAGACAAGTAACTCAGAAGCCAGGGTTTGGAGGAGCTGTCTTCGTAGACATGGAAGCTCCTGGGATGATGGTAGAACCTAGGACAAAAACACTGTGACAAAATTCTTTTGCTGTCTGGGTCCCTACATAGCTGGATCATCTAACTTTGCCCTTAATTACGACTATTGCCAGCCTGCAGAGATATAGCCTTATAACTCAGCCTTCATCCCTGAGGCTGCCTGGCTCCTCACCTCCCTTGTCCTTCTAATTATAGCCTCGTGTGCCCTTACAGGACTGACCACAGGTGAAATATCATGCTTGCTGGCACCATCTTGAATTACATAGTTTTTTTTTTTTTTTTTAAAGATTTATTTATTTATTTGAGAGAGAGAATGAGAGAGAGCACATGAGAAGGGGGAGGGTCAGAGGGAGAAGCAGACTCCCTGCCGAGCAGGGAGCCCGATGCGGGATTCGATCCAGGGACTCCAGGATCATGACCTGAGCCGAAGGCAGTCGCTTAACCAACTGAACCACCCTGGCGCCTGAATTACATAGTTTTTAAGAGATATTGGCAGAGCCTTTAAACATGGAAGAGCCGGAGTGGTGTTGAGAGCCTGGCGTAAGGGGCACCAAATCCCAGAAACCCAGGATGGCCAGGAGTGCTTGCGAGCTAGCCATCAGCCCGATACACAGTCACAGTATGCTCAGAGCCTCTGTGCACAAGAAGCAAGGTCATAACCAAAAGACCACGCACTCCCAATAAGCCCCTTGACTCCCATCCAGCGAGGCTGGCTCCCTGGCCTGCAGTGAAGAGAAAGAGCCTTGAGTAGGGGGCCTGGGTTCTAGTCCTGACTCTGCCATGAACTTGCAGTGTGACCCTGCCCTGAGGCCTCGGTTTGCCTGTTACACAAGGGCAGAGGGATCCCAAAGACTCTTGCAGCCTAGATGGTCTACGGGTGTGGGTGGAGGAAGGATATGCTCATCAGCTCACGGGGCTCAGAATGCACGGGCTGCAGAAGTCTTCAAGCTTCATGAGAGTCTTTTGCAGAGTCATCCCTCTGGGGTTCACTCCCTGCACCCCTCCTCCTCCTCCTTCCTGAGATCCTCTGAAGTAAGCTCAAGTGGTACCCCCATGCCTCCCATCTTTCTCTTCATGAGATTTTCTTTAGGCTAAAAAGTCAACCTGGTTTGAGGCTGTGTTGAAAAGGAGAACACAGGAGGCCCCAGCCACACAGCCATACCAGAGACCCATGGCTCCCCACAGAGCTTCCCTTTTAGGGCACATTCATCCCAACCCCCATCAGAGACTCAGGACCAACAACCACGAGAGCTCCAGATGCCCCTGTATGTCTCTGGCCTGGTCCTTGGGAGGCAGGCAGATTCCTCAGATACCAGGGACCCTCAGTACCCCATGTTGCAGCTGGTGAGGGGATCCCAACATGTGGCCTCATCTGTACCCAGGACTGAGCCCCCTCCTTCACAAGGTGTTTCTGCCTATCCTTTGGGCCAATGATACATCCTAGGGCCCTTGACATCAGTGAAGAACAAATGAGGTCCTGTCAGGAGTCTTGGGAAAGACCCACTTTGTGACTGTAGAAGATAGGCCTGGGTTATCAGCCTGGTGCAGGTAGCATGGGGGGTCCGGGCGTGTGGACAGTGGGAAGGAATTCCCTCAGTGATGCCGGGCCACAGCTTGAGGACACCTTCTCTCTGGGGAAGGCCTGGCCAAGATTCCCCCAGGATAGGCTGGGGAGCAGAGCCCGGGACCCTGGGGACTCTGGGCAGCACCACCTGGCTGGAGCAGGGCAGAAGGACCACAGAAGGATCTAAGAGGAACAAACCAAGGTCACAAGAGCCATAGTGAGTACAGCCTTTGCCTGGGGTCACCCCTCCCCTGGGCCCCATTTCACACACACCCCCAGCACGCATGGGCTCCATGGCCACCGAGCTGCCCATGTCCTCCCCTCCACCTCCCTGCAGTCTCCTGTGAATGGCCCTCTCCCAGTCAGTGCTCCCTCCTCCCCTGCCAGCTCACCGAGCGATCTCCCTTCCTTCCTTCCAGTACTTCCTCCTGGTTGTTCTCCTGAGGGGGAAAAGAAGGGGTGACTCCATGCCCTTGTTGCCTCACTTCTTCATTCCTGCCCCTTGCCTGGCCAGACCATGGTCACTCAAGGCCTCTCTTGGGCCCTTGGTCTTGGCCACTTCAGCTGGGAATCCAATGGGATCAGGGTGGACGGGCTCTGGGACAGCAAGCAGGCAGCCCAGAATGAGGACAGTAACGAGCAGAGCCGGGGACGAAGCAGGGGGGTCAGGTGGAGACTGGGGAGAGAAGCCCACCAGAAGAGACAGAGGGCAGGAGTACGGAGCTGCCAAGGGCAGAGGCCTCGCTCCCACGCTGGACGAAACCCCTCCGATCTGGGGCAGGTGGAGGAGCAGAGCCTCCCTGTTCACCTGTCTAGAGCCTGAGGCTGTGGGAGGACTGTGGGATCCCATGTGGTGACAGGCTAGTGGTGGGGTCGAGCAGGGTGGGGGGGTGGGGAGGACCCAAGGGTGGGATCCTTGGGCTAAAGGCAGGGGTGCCGAATGCTTACCGATCTCCTCGGTGGCCCCGTTTCAGGGGCCCAGGCTTCCTGTGTTGCTTCGATTGCTGAGATCCCATGGGCCGGATAGTGCCTCCTGGGAACAAAACCCCTGTCTTGGCAAAAGGGTGCAAACCCAGGAAGAAGGCAGAGGGTCCTGTCCTCCATGGCAGCCAAAGGCTGGGGGGAGTCCGGAGGCTGGTGCTGCTTCAGGCTGCACACAAAGACCGGGATCCTGTTGCAGTTCCTTACACTACTCAGCTCCCAACTGAAGCTGCCACAAGCCACCTGGGTGTCTCCCTCCATCACCGAGGCAACAGTCACACTAACAACCACCATCAGGATTCACTGGGAAACAGAAACCCTCTCTGCTGGTCACAGTCCCCCTCCCAAGCCCTTCAGGACCAGCCCGAATCTCCAAGGCTTCAGTGGCCATGCCACTCAGGGACACCCAGCTGCTCGTTTCCATGGCAACACCGAGACCCTGTATGCCTGCATCTGCGGTTACTATAGCAACCCAGGCAGAGCCAGGTGCACTGAGGACAAAGTCCCCATCTGGAGGAACCACAGCCAGAAAACACATTCACTGCCGCTCTCTGTGGCCTGCCCTGGGTTGGTAGCAGGTCTGTGCTTGTGCGTCTTTGAGAGACTGATGGGGGTTCTAGGATTTCCTCGCCTGTGTCCTCAGCCTCTTGTCCTCCCACTCCACCTAAAAGGCACCCGAGTGATCTTCCCCCTCACAGGGCTTCACCTCCCACAACCCTTTTAAGAGAGAGAGAGAGAGAGAGAGCACATGTGGGGGGTGGGGAGAAGAGGGAGAGAGAGAATCTGAAGCAAGCTCCACACCCAGCACAGAGCCTGATGCAGGGCTTGACCTCACAACCCTGAGATCATGACCTGAGCCGAAATCAAGAGTCAGACACTCAACCAACTGAGCCACCCAGGCGCCCCCACCTCCCACAACCCAAGAACATCCACGCCTGCATCGTGGGCCCACTCCTCTCCTAAACTCCAGAACCCTCCATCCACCTGTTCTCTGGACACATCCCCCTGAATATCCCACACAGCAGCTCACACTGAAGGATGCAGCTAGGACTTCCTGTGAGTCTTATCTTATAGATAAGATTTATCTTATCCATGCTGTCTCTGTGAGCCACACAGCAGGCCTCCAAGGCGCCAGCGTAGCTTCCTGCTATTTCCTTCCACCTTCCCTGCCCAGGCCGGCAATCATGAAACCATTTTGATGTCAGCCAGCAAGCATCTGTCCAGTCCCTTCCCTAGGTCCACATCCTCAGAAGGCCAGCCCAGGGTTGGGGCCCCACTCAGAGAGATGCTGAGCCCCGACCAGAGGTAGTAGACAAGAAGAAATGAAGGGAACAGGGGTTAGGGCCCAATGGGAAATGAGGGGGAGCTGAATGAGGTGCCAAAAGACTCAGCTATCAAGATAATATTTTAAGTCAAATTGAATGCAAAAATACCCCCATACACAAAACAACCAAATTTTAAACTATAACAGGGTTCCACGGGGGCCGGAATTAGTGTGAGGCAATGAGGCCAAATCCTGCAATCAAGGGTTGGATCCTCTATTCACATTTTGATTTTGTTCATTATGGATGTTTTTGCGTTAGTTTTGATATTCAAAGGTATTGCATTGAAATATTAGTTATGTCAATTCCTGAGCTTTTCAGCAGTCCCTTAAATTTTGTACCTGAGGTAAATAAAGGCCCCACGTGCCTCATGCTAGTCTCGGGCCCGAAGGGGAGGGCAGAGGAGTCCAAGGGCAAGAGGGCCCCTGCTGCAGGTGAAAATACATCATATGACAGGAGCCAGGAGACATGCCTCATGCTAGTCTCGGGCCCGAAGGGGAGGGCAGAGGAGTCCAGGGGCAAGAGGGCCCCTGCTGCAGGTGAAAATACATCATATGACAGGAGCCAGGAGACATGCCTTCTGCAAACTGCAGGGATTCCTCTCAGTTCTGACAGAATCGGATTCAGACTTCCCGAGACTCTGCAACATGAAGATTGCCGATGAAGAGCCCAGGTGCCCAGTGTGCACGCGGGCCCCCACATGTGGGGGTGACAGTGACTCAGAAGGGGGCTCCCATCTCCTGCCCTCCCTCAGGCTGGCTGCCTAGGGGAGGGGAGGGGAGGGGAGGGAGGAGCAGGGAACGGAGGGGCGAGGGGGCGGGCAGGGAAGGGGCAGGCAGTTCCACGAGACAGGGAGCAGGAACTGCAGATTAGCTGTAATTGCCTGAAGCTGAGAGAGGCTGTTGATAAATGTTACTAATAATCAGCCTTCAGATCTGACACCCAGCTCAGGCTGGGATTACTGTTTTGAATGGAAATCGAACCCAAACCAGTAATTACCCCAGTGAACGACGCCAGTCTTAACGGTGGAGCCTGTTCCAGGCAGAGAAATGGCACCTGCATGTCAGTGTCAGTCCATCAGGGAGAAGAGTCTGCAAGGGGTCACACCCAAGGGCACAAGTTGGCCTGGCCTCCGCTGACTCAACGGGACACGGTTTCCACCCTTCTTCCTAGGAACTACAGTGGGTGCGGGACGCTCAACGATCATCCTTAGTCTCTAGGCACGGTCCAGACCTCACACCTCACCCACACCGTCCGTCCGCCCTGGCGCTGGGCGGAGGTCCCTTGCTGACATCATCCCTAGCTATCAGAAGGAGTTGCTTGGGGAGGGGGTGGCTGTCCTCCCCAACACAGATGCAGCCCTCCAAACCTCCATCTGGGACACTAGGACAGCCACACAGTTGGGCCCTGTTAGACTGGGAGGCTCCTGGAATGTCCCGAGTTGGGGCCAGGTGGGAGGGGCAAGGCCACCACAGATGCTAAAGTGGGTCCCAGCCCCCACCTCTGCTCCTGATGAGCATGTGCTTGCTCCCAGTGCCAGACGACACCAGGTATGCCTGGAAACGGAACCCAGAAACAAGCAGCCTGCTATGGCCCTAGCCTAGGATGCTGGCACCAACAGAACCAGGCCAGAGCAGGAAAAGGCTACTCCTATCTCCGAACCAGCTCCCCTCCCAGGGTACAGGGGCCTGGACCCCCCAGCCCCCACCCGGCTTCCCAGCAGGATAGCCAGGACACCCAGATAGGAAAAAAGCATTCACTAGCTCCGCTCCGGTTGAAACCGTCCAGGCAGGCAGAGCAGGCTCATGAGCCCACCGCACCTAGTCCTGCACCAGCAAAAGGGGTGGTGTACCGTCGTCCCCCACTTCCCAAGGCTCAGGGGAAGAAGAGGGAGGGAGAGAGCAAGCCAGTCTCTCCCCCACCCCTACCCAGCCCCGCAGAGTCAATTCTCGCCAGCACACCGGCTCCGGTGGCGGGCAGAGACAGTGGCACTCTGCCCTAGTGAACCTCACTCACCACCACACACCCTCCCTGCCGAGCCGGACCCTGGGCTCCGAAGAGGAAGACAGTCCCTGTCTCCAGGGAGCCCTGGGGAGGAGGAGGAGAAGCAGGTAATAATGACTAGGACTGCAGGTCAGGCTGATGAGCCCTTTGGACTCGCAGGTAAAAATGCCCTGAAGTACAGAGTCTGGAGGTATCGGTGAGCTGCCTCAGTGGGCAGACAGAGCTGGTCAGGCCTGGCGGGATTCAGAATGTGGGGGACCGCAGCCTCGCAGGCCGTGAGTAGACCAAGGGTACGTGTCGGGACAGGCGGAGCCCTCCCCGCAGGAGCCGGCGCCTCGAGGGTGCCACCTAGTGATGGCGCGGTGGGAGTGCAGCTCTGTCTTCAGGCCCTGGGCTTTCCCTCCGCTTTGCTCTTCCCCTGAACTCAGCTGTGTGAACAGGAACTGAAGAAAAGGGTTTAGTCTCGCTCACAAAGGCTTGAGGCTTGGCGTAGAGAAGGCACAATGGGCCCCAGGGTCTGGAAGCTCTAAGGCAGCAGGCGGGGGAAGGCTCCTGCCTCTGGAGCGCCCCGGCTGCGTCCAGAGCATTCTGGTGTCTCTGTTTATTATCTGTTCACACAGCACTGTCTCCCCACCATTCCACTGGGACCTCAGCTGTCACCTGCTCCTGGCATGGCCCACAGGGAGAGGTGACAGGAAGCCCACACCGAGAACTGGCCTGCCCAGCCTCTCAGGTGCCAGACCTGGGTGCTCACCATCAGCTAACCCACCTTGCTCCTACGGCCTAGGAAGGGGCTCGCTTTCAGCTTGGGGTCAAGCAAGGGGGCTGTAGCGGCTCAACCCTCAGCTCTCAGACAACCTACTGAATGCCTGGGAATACTTGTGGCCCTCAGTTATTCTCCTTTCTTGCCAGAGAAAGCAGTAGTGATAAGATGTGAAGTGGTGGTCCCCAAAGTCTGCGTTCCCAGGTGTGGCCAGCACTCAGCCTGGCTGAGCCAGTGGTGTGGGGCCTGCGGAGGAGGGCAGGAGGGAACCAGCCCAGGTGTAGGGTAAAAAGGAGCAGGGACTGCAGAACAGGTGAGCGGGGTGGGCAAGCATTTTCTTGGAGGGCCAGATGGTACATATTCTAGGCTTGCAGGCTGAGCTGTACTCAGCTCTGTGGCTGAGTGGGAAAACAGCCAAAGACAGTATGTAAACAAGTAGGCATGCCTGTGTCCCCTTAAACTATTTACAAAAACAGGCTGCTGATCCAATCCAACCTCACTGCCCACCACGGTGGTTGTCCATGTTGGACCACCCGAGGCCACAGCCCAACACGCCAACTTGTACCAGATGCTCGATGGAGCACCAGCCCGCGTCACCAGCGCTCTCTCTTAGGGCAAGGCTGGGTGTGGTGTCACAAGGCGTAAGGCGCGGGGGCTGGAGTAGAAAAGGTCGGGGTGGTGAGGAGCATGGCCAGTCGGGACCCCCAGACCTCAGTCCTGCCCCCCCCTTTCCCAGCACGCACTCAGGGCTCCGGACACTTACCTGCAGTGGGAGGCTCTGCGCAGTCACCACTACTCCCCTTCCTTCCCCTAAGGGATCTCTGTTCGTCTAGCCGATGCCCCTCCAGCCCCTTCCCGAGCAGGAAACTCCCAAAGCCAGGCGGGGGATGGGACAGAACTGCCCCAAGGACGGGTCGCTGGACAGATGACACCCCGGGGAGCACGAGGTGGCCTGAGGCGAGAGGAGGTGTAACCCAGCACCAGGACTCAGGGGCCCTAGGAGAGGCCAGGCTGGAACCGACCCCCCTGCCCGAAAAGGCCTGGCGGGCCGGCCCCCACCCGGTCCCGGGACAGTCCACCAGAGCCGGCCCGGCCTGCCCACCCCAGCTGCCGTCCCCCGGTGGGTGGCGCCGTGGTGAGGAGATCGCCAGGGGCAGGCTCAGCGCTGAGCCCCGGGCTCTCCAGTTACACTAAAAGTGAGACCATGGAAGATGGTATCGAGGCGCGCGAAGGCAGCGTGGGCTCATCCAACATTGATGCAGCCCCGGACTGCCCCAGAGCTCCTCGTAGCAGAGGCAGGGTTCCCGCTCCCAGCTCCTCTGGGATGGGCCGGGTCCTCCGCCGCCCTCCCCTGCAGCTCATCACCCGAGGTCACACAGACATCTATCAGCTCCCACATGGAAGCGGCCCCTCCTGCGCCTTGCTTAGTCCGCTGGTTCTGCAGTCCCCCTGCTGTGCAGAAGCCGCCCAGGCGGAGGCGGAGCAGGCTCATGACCCTCATGCACCTGGTCCTGCCCCGGGGAAGGGGTGGTGTACCATCCTCCCCCACTTCCCAAGGCTCAGGGGAAGAAGAGGGAGGGAGAGAGCAAGCCAGTCTCCCCTCGCCCTGCCCCCCAGAGTCAATTCTCTCCAGCACACCTGTCTCCATTCAAATACATCTCTCTCTCACACACACACACACACACACACACGTCCACATCGCTACTCCTGATGGCACACAGGCAGCTGCCTGCAAAGGTGCACAAACTCATCCATATACACTCAGTGGTGCACACACACCCTGGCACAACGTGCCCATAGCCCAGATACACAATTACTGGTGCACACACTCAGTTCCATGAAAAACACGCTCTCAGAAGCCTTCTCCCAGAGGAGCCCAGACCGTCACTGCCTCGGCTCTCTGACACTTACTTGGTGGTGGAGAGAAGGCAATGCCACCCAGACTGTCCCACCCAGGGCAAACCAGCCTGGGGGGGGAGGGGCCGGCACCAGGACAGTGCCCTCTTGGTGCACTGGGGCGTTCCTGGCCTGGTGATTAGTGGGTCTGCAGTGCTGGAGAGGGCCCAGGAGCAAAGCCGGGGTGGGATTAAATCTTGGCTGAGGAATGTGACCTTGTAAGAAGGTAATTCTGGGTCCCTGTTACCCTGATGCAGGCTCAGCCTGATTCCAAAGGTTCTTGGGTGCCGGGCCCTCATTCGGACACTAGGTTCCAGTCGGATGGCACAGTTCTCTAGCACCATTAGATGTGCAGAAATCTGCCTCCTCTGGTGACAGCATGGGCAAGCTGTTCCCTAATGCCCACCGACTCCCCGACAGCTTGGCCTGGCACTCATCAGTACACCCACCACGTGCGCGCACACACAGACACACATACACCTGTCTAGGGTTTTCTTTGTTACTCTTCAGATTAGGGGAGACCAAAACGTTTGCCCGGAGTTTCAGAGGGGGACACTGATTTGGAACACACAGCTGAGCCAGGAGCTCTACCTGCTCGATGTCAGGACAGCCCACACTGCTCAGGATGGAGAAAAAAGGTGCGCCGCTCTCCCAAGTACATGCTGGGTCAGAATGCCCCAGGTGAGACCCAGGCTTGGCATTTATCTGTCATCAGGGCACAGGATTTTTCAGAATGAAGGGGTCAGATATCAACGGGTTCCTGTGAGTCCCCACTTAGAAAAAAACTGTCCTCCGGACTGTGCCTTTCTTTCTACCTTTGGCCACAGAAATAATGTTCCTGCCCCCAGGGTCTGCTTTTGTTTAAAAGCATCCTGTCACTCTACCTGAGAAACCATACTGCCTGATGACTTCAAACATCAGTGTGGGCAAGAAATCCTTGCCTCACCTCCATGACATGCTCCTGTCTCTACTCCCTTATCACCCTGAGCCCCAATCACACCAGCTGCATGGGACACAGATCAGCCCCCGTCACGTCCCTCCTCCACAGCTATTCCTCCCCTGACCCTGCACCACCACTGCCATTTGCCCCAGCCGGTACAGTCATTTTAGTTCCATACAGCTATAAATCCATCAGAAGAAAAGTAGCTATGTTCCAAAGCTCTGGAACAAAGCAGGACCTCCAATCACCTGTCTCGGGTGTCCACCCCAGCCTCCCCTGCCAGCAATCCAGAAGCTGGCACTGCCATGGCCAGGACCTCCAAACCCCAGCCTGCCCTGTTCTCATCCCCCACCCTGGCCTTGCCAACCACAGAACACACAGCAAGGCCACGGGTCATGTACTCACAGAACACCAGAACTCCAAGAGAGCTCAGTCAAGCAGTCCAGCCTCTTCAACTTCAGGAGAAACAGGCGCAGAGAGCCAAGTGACTTGCCTAGAGCCAGAATGGGAATTAATGGAGTAGCCAGAATGAAGTCCTGGATTCCGAGCTCCCTTCACAGTGCTCTTTCCAACATCCTTCCCTGCTTCATAAAGCCCAGGAAAAGCATCACCTCCATCTCAGAATAAGCTGCTTGTGAACTTACCTGCCACAGGGGTCAAACTGCTGCCCCCAGGCCTGGTCTGCCCCCCTCTACTGCCCAGTGCCTCCCAGCTTCTCTGCTGGTTCTGACTCACCAGCAGTAGGGACTAGAGTTAGCTGGCTCATCCCTATGGCTCCCTCTGTGAGATCTCTCAACAGCTGTGGCCTGAGTCCAAGTCCTAAGGGAAGGGTTTGTTTCAGTGTCCTGAGGTGCTTGCGAATTCTTCACTGGGGCTAAATGCCTGGCCCTCCCGAGGAAGCTGAACCTTGTCACCCAGGCCTCAGGTACTGGCTAAGGTCCCCAGCTCCCGAATTCCCATCTGACCCTGCTTTCCATCCCTAGCCTGGAGGTCCTGCCACTGTGCCCCTCTCACCCAATTGGTCCCAACTGGTACCCACCAGGTCCTCATCAGCCATGTCTCTTCAGTCCCTGGACTACCTCCCTAGGCGCCTCAGCCGCCTCCCCTTACCTGCCCACTCTCCTCACACAGCTCCACCTTGGGGCAGGGCCTGCCTCGGCCACCACACCTATCCCTGTTCTAGGAATGACCTAATTTTCAGGTTCAACTGGACAGAAAAGTCCTGATATTTGTAGAGGAGACTTGCTACGTGCCCGCTCATAATAACCACAGCCAGCACATAATAGCACTCGCCATGTGCCAGGCACTGCCCCAAGCACTCTATATTTATTAAGCTTTGCAAATATTAAGTCACTGAGTCCTCCCAACGATAGGTACTATTTCCTGTAGGTACTATTACGTCCATTTTAGTGATGAGGCCACGGAGGCTCACGGCAGTTAAATAGCTTTCCCAAGGTCACACATGCACTGTGCAAGTGCTTTGAATACTGTGAAGGAACAACTTTCTGGAACGTTAGGAAGCTGAAGCTGGAGCCATTGTTCGGGAACATGCAGACACTGAGCAGCTTCCCCTCCCACTCTAGCCCTACCCTCGCCAAAAGTATGTGGCTTTGGGGACATCAAGTTGGTTTAAGAAGAGGAGAGCCTAACATTTTTTCTTGTGACAAGACAGCCTACATCTTGAAAAGAGAAGCACACATTGTTTTAATGTCAAGTACTCTCAAAACGGTGAAGTGAGCACTAAGGGCTACTTTTACAATAAGGATTTGGCTACTTCCTCAACTTGGCAGAAACCTACCTTTGCCAAGAGTATCGCCAGCACTGCGTGTCCTGTGTGGGAACCAAGGAGCCAGAAGAAACCTGCACCAAGATGTGTTGTAGAGACTCCTGGCCAGTGTGGTCCCCTTGTCACCAATAAGCTCCAGGCCAATTAAATTGGGAGTTTCACTCTGGCCAGAGTAGATATGCATGTGGTCTGTTTCTAATTCACAGCCTACCTAAGAGTGTACACATTCAATTCCCACTGTGACCCTTCACTATAAGAAAATCATCACCCCGATTTTATAGATGGGGAAACTGAGACTAAAGGGTATTAAGTAACTATCTACTTGACACGCTTCTAAACTGTTTCAACTTTGCTTCTTCTATTTCTACAAGTGGCACACATGATTTTTATAATCAACCAAAACAATAAAGATGTTCCCACCTGGGCTACATTTACACAGCTAGTAAGAAGTGGAGCTGGGATTTGAACCAGGTCTGTCTAATAACAAAGCTCAAGCTCTTTCTAATGCCCCCTCTATGCCATCTCAGTGACCCACTCTTTTGGGAGTCCCAGCCCTCCCTAGACATGTTTAGTACAGGTCACGTCTTGCTTCCTTGCCCTTTTCTCCTATCCAAAACTTACTATAGGGGCGCCTAGGTGGCACAGTTGGTTAAGCATCCAACTCTTGGTTTCAGTTCAGGTCATGAGCTCAGGGTCATGATCTCAGGTTGTGAGATCGAGCCCCACGTCGAGCCCTGTATCAGGCTCCCCACTGAGCATGGAGCCTGCTTGGAATTTTCTCTCTCCCTCTCCCACTCTCAAAACGAAACAAAACCTCTCCCCACCATGCTCTCTTTCTCTCTCTCAAAACAAAACAAAACAACATTACAAAGCTGCAGTAATCAAAACAGTGAGATATTGGTATCTCCAAGAATAAATTCATACATCTATGGCCAATAGATTTTTGACAAGAGTGCTACGTCCATTCTACAGTGTCTTCAACAAATGGTGCTGAGACAACTGGATACTGGATTTCCACACGCCAAGGAATGGAGCTGGACCCACATCTCACCAAAATAAACTCAAAATGGATCAATGACCTAAATATATGCTCTAAAACCACTTAGAAGAAAACGGTCAATTTTCATGACTGTGGATTTGGCAATGAATTTGTAAATATGACACCAAAAGCATAAACAAAAGAAAAAAATAGATAAATTGGACTTCCTCCAAATTAGAAACTTGTGCTTCAAAGAGCATTATCAAGAAAGTGAACCTCTGTTCACTCTTGGTAGGACTGTAAATGGATACAACTGCTATGGAAAATAGTATAGGTTTCTGAAGAAATTAGAAATAGAGCGAGAACTACCATCTGATCTAGCAATCCTGCTTCAGCATATATTTCCAAAGGAAATGCAATCTGGATCTCAAAGGGATATTTCCACTCCCATGCTCCCCACAGCATTATTCACAATAGCCCAGATATGGAAGCAACCTAAATGTCCACTGACAGAGGAATGGATAAAGAAAATATGGTGTATATATACACAATGAAATGTTATTTGGCCTGAAAAAATAAGGAAGTTGCCATTTAGGACCACATGGATGAACCTGGAAGACATTATGCTAAGTGAAAAATGCCATTCACAGAAAGACAAATACTGCATGATCTCACTTTATGTGGAATCCAAAACAGTCAAAGTCATAGAAGCAAACAGTAGAACTGTGGTCGCCAGGGGCTGGGTAGATGGGGAAAATGGGGAAATGTTGGCAAAAGGGTACAAAGCTTCAGTCATCCAAGATGAATGAGTTCTAGAGATCAGATGTACAGCATGGGGACTGTCGTTAACAATACTGTATTGTATCCTTGAAATTTGCTATGAGGATACATCTTAAGTTTCCTCATCATACACACAAAGAAAAGAAAAGAAAAAAGAAAAAGAAAAGAAAAGAAAGAAAAAGAAAGAAAGAAAGTGGTAAGTATGTGAGGTGATGGGTATGTTAATTAGCTTGACTGTGGTCATCATTTCACAATGTATATGTATATCAAAACATCAAGTTGTACTCCTTAAATATATATAACTTCTACGTGTCAATTATACCTCAGTAAAGCTGAAAAAAATCAAACCACCAAAAATATCAACCAAAAGACATGCATTAAAATGTCCAGTGTTAATAATAACCAAAGCTGGGACACATCTCAAGTCCCTGTCACAGTGGAATGGATGAATTATGGTAAATCCACACAGAATACTACACAGCAATGAGAGTGAGCAAGTTGCAATTGCATGCAAAACCATAGATGAATCCACTGTTAAACTAAAGACAGAAGACACAAAAGAGTACCCCTGGTACTCCTAAATTAAGTTAAAAATAGACAAAACTAATCTCTCCAGTTAGAAGTCAGTCTAATGGAAGTCAGGATGGAGGTAGCCTTGTGTTAGAGGGCAGAAATAATTCAAGGCAGACCTTGAATTCACTTTGTGAAAATTCACCAAATTCTTCACTTATGACTTGTGCACTTTTTCATATGCGGGCTATATACTTCAATAAAGAGTTTATTTAAAAACAAAATACATAGGCAAAGGACTTGAATGGACATTTCTCTAAAGATCTATGAATGGTCAAGAAGCACATGAAAAGATGCTTAACATCAGTCATCAGGGAAATGTCAATCAGAACCACAGTGAGAAACCATTTTGCCAGTCCCAGGATGGTTTAAAACCAGAAAATAACAGGTGTTGCCGAGGATGTGGAGAAATGGGAACCTCAGGCACCGCTGCTGGGAAGGTAAAATGGTGCAGTTGCTGTGACAAACAGCTGGGCAGGGCGCCTGGGGGGCTCAGTCAGTTAAGCATCTGCCTTCTGTTCAGGTCATGATCCCAGGGTCCTGGGATCGAGCCCCGCGTCGGGCTCCCTGCTCCACCGTGGGGAGCCTGCTTCTCCCTCTACCCTCCCCCCCTTCATGATTTCTCTCTCTCTCTCACTCTCTCTCCTCAAATAAATAAAATCTAAAAAAAAACCATCCTGGTTTCTCCAGGGCTTGGGTGAATGACTCTCCAAGTCATTCTTTTGATCTTGCTTTGACTCCACACTCACCAGGCAGCCTTTTGATTTTACTTGCCAAGTAGCTTGAAGATTGGGTATGGGCCCTGGGCAGGGCCATAAACACTGCAATAACTGCAAAGAGACCTTCACAACTCTAGAGTAATAAATGGGTCTTCTGATTGGGGAGCAGGGAAGAAGAAGAAGAACAACAACAACAACAACAAAGTTGAAGGTCCAAAACTACCTGATTTCAAGACGCTTTACAAAGCTATAGTTATCCAGATAGTGTGACATTGGCATTGAGAAAAGCAAACAGATCAATGGAACAGAATAGAGAGTAGAGAAATAAATACAATGACAACTGGTTTTTGATAAAGATGCAAAAAAAAGTAAAGTCCTTTCAACAAGTGGTGCTGGAACAATTAGATATCTTTCTTTTTTTCAATGAACCTCATTCCATATACAAAAGTTAATTCAAAATGAAGTGCAGACCTAAAATGTTAAGCCTAAAATTAGAAAATTCCTAAGAGAAAACGTTTGTTGCTTTGCATTAGGCCATGATTTCTTAGATAAGACACTAGAAGCACAATCCATACCCCAGAGATACAGATGTAGTGAAAAGAAGGGGCACCTGCACCCCAATGTTCACAGCAGCAATGTCCACAACAGCCAAACTGTGGAAGGAGCTGAGATGCTCTTCAACAGGTGAACGGATAAAGAAGATATGGTTTATATATACAATGGAATATTACTCAGCCATCAGAAAAGATGAATACCCACCATTTGCACCGACCTGGATGGAACTGAAGGGGATTATGCTAAGTGAAATAAGTCAAACAGAGAAAGACAATTATCATATAGTTTCACCCATATGTGGAACATAAGGAATAGTGTAGAGGACCACAGGGGAAGGGAGGGAAAACTGAATGGGGAAAAATCAGAGAGGGAGACAAACCATGAGAGACTCTGGACTCCGGGAAACAAACTGAGGGTTACAGAAGGGAGGGGGTGGGGGGATGGGTTAGTCTGGTGATGGGTATTGAGGAGGGCACGTGTTGTGATGAGCACTGCAGCTAATGAATCGTTGAACACTACATCACAAACTAATGATGTATTATATGGTGGCTCACTGAACA